TTAGGCTCAGCAACCCACCCTATGGCATTGTTAGGCTGGCTTAGGGCCATATTCAGAGAGCTTGGTTCTCTTATGTTCTCATTTTATGCCTTTAAAGTCCAAAACGGGTGGGGGAAAGTGACAAGGCCTGCTCTTTCCACATAGTGCGCCGCAGAGCTCTTCACCCAGAACGTGCCATGGACAACCAAAGTGACAGCGAGGAGGAGCTTGCTGCCTTCTGTCCTCAGGTATCTTGGTTATGGGATCTGCACCTCTGGCAAGTTTTTTTTTTTTTAGTTCCCTTTTACCATCTGGCACCTCACATTTAGGCAGTAAGCTCATTATGGTCTCAATGTCTGCCCCCGCTCCCTGTCCCCAGGACCTATGAGGAAAGAAGCTAGTATTATATGGGGACTTTGTACATAGATCTCAATTTGAGTGCGGTGACCAGCACACCCTCTCCCATGTCTCCTTTTAACCCCTACCATCATGGCAGAACTTCTGGAACTGATGTGATCATCTTTTAAACAGCCCAGCCCACCTTCGGTCGGGCAGTGAGTATGTCCTTCAGGCCACCCATGAAATGTTTTCTCTGGATCAATTATTTGCTTAAGAGTAAGTGGCTGGTTGACTACCAAGACTCCTTCCTGTGTTCAAGATTGATGAATAAGGTGTTTTCCTTGGGGGAACAGACTAAAAGAGATCAACATTTTGACCGAAGTCCCTATTCCCACCAGGTTACACTGTTGGCCTTAGGGCAGCCTTCAGGGCCTGCCAATTAGTAAATCTAACTGGGAAACTGCATCTGTTCTTAATGGCATCATCTCTTCAGGCTTGTCGGTCTTTTCTTTTCCTAAGCTGGATGATTCTGCCGTTGCCAGGGAATTGGCCATCACAGACTCTGAGCACTCGGATGCTGAGGTCTCCTGTACAGACAATGGCACATTCAATCTTTCAAGGGGCCAGACACCTCTAACAGAAGGCTCTGAAGGTGAGGAGAATCTTGGACCTGAGTTGATAATGGCTCTGACTCTTGTCTTTCAGCTTCCCTGGACAGAGGGGATAATACCCCTTCTCTCCTGTTTTCTAAATAGTGGATCAGGTGGCAGAGCAACCTTAGGGGCATGGCTGCAGCTAGACTGGCACAGCTGCTTTCCTTGGAATCCTCATTTTCTTAGTCGCCTCAGGTTGTAGGTTCACGGGGGGCATAGTGAAAGAAGAGACGGGGAGTTCTCTGGCCAGTAGAGAGCACAATAATCTGTAAGTGGTAGGTAAAAGCTGACCAGTGCCATGGGTCTGTTTCACTATTAGATATCCAGGGTGGAAAAATCTGGTTACGTGAGGCTGACTTATGGGGTTGGGGCACAGGAGGGCCAGGCAGTTGCCGTGTCTCAGACACCCTTGTATTCTCCCAGACCTAGATGGTCACAGTGATCCAGAGGAATCCTTTGCCAGAGACCTTCCAGACTTCCCTTCCATTAACGTGGATCCTGCTGGCCTGGATGATGAGGATGATACCAGCATTGGGATGCCCAGCTTAATGTACCGTTCCCCACCAGGGGCTCAGGAGCCCCAGGCTCCCCCTGCCAGCCAGGACGAGGCTGCACTGCCAGAGCTCCTGCTTGGTGCCCTGCCTGCGGGATCCAACCTCACCAGCAATCTTGCCAGCCTGGTCTCCCAGGGCATGATTCAGCTGGCCCTGTCAGGGGCCTCTCAGCCAGGCCCTTCCGGCCCACCTCCCCGGAGAGCAACAAGAGGCTTCCTCCGGGCCCCCAGTTCAGACCTGGACACTGATGCTGAGGGGGATGACTTTGAACTTCTGGACCAGTCGGAGCTGAATCAGCTGGACCCCGCCAGTTCCAGGAGCCACTGAGGCAGAGAATCCTTTTGGGGGGGTCACTGTGGTTTAGGTTTTTTTTTCCTCCTCATCCTACTTAAGGTGAAGGGGCAAGGGAAGAACCCAGGTCCCACTCCCTGAATTATATTTGTATGCCTGGTGGCCTGGCTGATGCTCAGAGGCCTGCTGAGAGAGGATACTCCCCTGCTACCAGCGAGACACCCATTTCTGAGCTCAGTCACTGAAGTGAGAGTGTGTTTCCCAAGGGAGGCTTCTCTCTATCGGAATGGTACTTCGGGGGAACAAAGTAGTCAGGGGTATTGGTTCCCCTTTGAGGGGGTGCTGCTGTTTGCTTCTAGGTATGGGTGCTTGGGGGCCCTCTGTGATAGAAGAGCCCTTTCTTCCTCCTTCATCACATCCCTAGAGCTCCAAGTCAGGCAGCAGCTGGAAGTTACACTGTCATCCTCCTTTTGCTAAGCCATGATTTGATTTGTCTTTTTCTAAGCAAACCTGTCCTTTGGTCTGCAGAGCAGGCCTGTTCCCTCTGCCCTAGCCCATCCTCATTTCTTGAGGCCTAACCTCCAGTACTCCAAAATATTGCTTGTGAAACTTTAAGAACTGTGAACATGATGTGGGGGTAGGCCTCTTCTACATTACCTTGGGCTATGGGGTCAGCTGGCTGGGAGGGTGAGTGCCTCTGTATCTCGTGGTCTCACTGAATCTTCTGGAGCTGCCTGGTAATCTTCGGTGCTGCTAACCCCTGGCTTCATTTGACCATCAGGCTAAGCAACGAGCAAAGCAATACCATACCATACCAATTTCCATGTTCCTGTTCCTTCCCCTGCTCCTCCTTTGGAGAAGCAATAATTCCATGGGGGATGTCAGAGTAGCACTTTACCAGTGGCTCAGTGGCATTCATCCCAGGAGCCACCAGCTCTTGCACCAGCTATTCTTACTCCCTGTTCAGCTCCTTTAATACTTTTATCTTGAACTGCTTCCCAACTTGGGAGGGCCTCTTTTAAGGATGAGCCCAGTTGGCAAGAATGTGTCTATAACAGGCAGAGACCCCTCTAAGGGGTATCTGTTAGACTGCCCCTAGTAAAATCATGAGACAAAAACTAAAAATGGTAATTGGTTCTAAATCTGTGCCAGCCTACAGCCTCTCTCTGCCTCCCCAATCAGAGCTCAAGCCAAACTCT